CTCTGTACCTTTCCTTCAATTGTGCTGTAAACAACCTAAAACTGCTCTAAAAAATAGTCTATTCTTCTAAAAATTTAAATTCAGTATATTCAGTTGTTATTCATCAGTCCCATCTCTCACTGACAAAAACCACACAAGGCACACACTTGTAATTCCAGCAACTCAGGAGGCTGAGGCAGGAGGATCACAAATTTGAGGCCAGCTTCAGCAACTTAGCAAAACTCTATTTCAAAATAAAAAATAAAAAGGACTGGGGATGTGGCTCAGTGGTAAAGTACCCCTGGGTTCAACCCTCAATACCAAAAACAAACAAACAAAAACCCCAGGGACATTCTTGCATTTTCAAACTGGAATTTTGAAATAAGAAAGTATACTTTATGCTAATATTTTAAAAGATAAAGCCACAGAGAAAATGCTGAGATTGCTATTAATTCATGGTCCTTTATAGCCAAAAATGTTCATCTTTTTTTTCCTCTGTGCCCCAAAAATGACTAGGAAAAACTTTTCATGTCTGTAAAATATTTAATCTCTCAAGACCCACAAAGAAATATGCTCCTCTTCTGGCCTGCGCTCTCTTGAAGTGAATTCCTGCTGAAGAAGATGGAGGAGGGGCCCCTCCACTATTAGGCACAGACCAGTGCTACCCTTCCAACAGGGGAAGGGGAGGGAAATAGGGCCATGGGCTCCAGGAAAGGCTGAAGCTGCCAAGGAAAACCCCAGACGGTAGGAGGTGGCTTGATCTGGGGGAGGGTGGATGTGCGTGTGGATGCAAGTCCAGGGTGCTCCAGAAGGGAGGGTCCAAGAGATAACATTCAGGTCCTCACAAAGGACATGCATGCAGAACCAAGTTCTCTACAATACAGCCCTTCATTTGACAGTTTCTGTACAGAAAAGGAGATGAAAAACTATGCAGACCTCAGGGAACATACTGGGTAGAACAGTGTTCTATGTGTGCACAGGAGGTTGAAGGAAAAGTAAAATGTAAAATAAACGAGCCCAAATTTACAAAGAAAGAAGGCCCAATTTTTTTCAAAAGCTGATAACTTGAAATAAAAAAAAGTATACTTTATGCTAATATTTAAACTGAAGGCACACAGAAAATGCTGAGATTGCTAATTAATTCATGGTCCTTTATAGTCAAAAATGTTCATCTTTTTTTGCTCTGTGCCCCACAAATGACCAGGAAGACACTTTTCTAATCAATAACATACCTGCTAACATCTAATCCTACTAGTATAAGAATCAGCAACAAAACAATTTCTTCAAAGGGCTATTTTTTTCCCCACAATTACATCCACAATCATAGAAGAAAACAACAACAAAAGTCTCTTATACCCATCTTCGAGGATATCCAATAAATCCTTTGGTCATTGTTAGCCAGCCTTTGACTAAGGACTGTCTTCTAATGTGCATTATCCTATTTATAAGGTTTAGTTCTCCAAAAAATGAATCACAGCTTGGTAAATCCAATTTACTTTGAAGTGTCCTTAGAATTCAGCCAATAATCTCTGCAGTAATTCTTGAGCATTTTTTACTCTCACTTTTGGCACTTTAAGGAGCCAAAAGGAGATAACTAAGAAACTTCAAGGACATAAAAATCTACTCAATTTCACCAAGCAACTGGCCTAACAGACCCTAGGGAGCAGGGGTAGGAAGGAGGTTAGCAACTGCACCCAGGTGAGCCAGGTCAGTAGGTCTTACTATTCCATGACAACTCCTACAACTTTCAACTCTCACTATATCATTTCAAACCCTGGCCTTCCACATCTACATAAAAGAATTCTAGGCCGTCAATAATGCCAACTGGAGCTGGGATTGTAGCTCCGTGGCAGAGCTTCACCTAGCATGTGTGAGGCACTGGGTTTGATTCTCAGCACCACACATAAATAAGTAAAATAAAAGTCCATTGACAAATAAAAAAATATTTTTTAAAAATTCCAAGCTGCATTAAATGTTACAAAGCTAATGACAAAGGGTGCAAACACACTCCCATTATAAACAGGTAAATATTATTAATCTGTACACATATGTGTGTATGTATGTATATATATATTATATGTATATGTACATACATACACATACGTATATGGAAAGAAAAACTACACACAAAAGCCTGGACATGTAGCAAGTAATCCTAGGATGACAGAGGTGAAACTCAAGACTGGTGCTGGAAAAGCAATGTTCTTTCCTTAAATAGGTTCTGGACTCTACTACAAATGTTTGCCCTTTACTTTGCAATAGTTAAATGTTACTTCAAATACATGCAATCTTGGAAAAACTTAAAGTAAGCTTTATTCTTGTTAGTGCCAAGTTATCTAAGAAACTTGTCTCCATTAGCCACCTAAAAGCTGTAGGACCATCTTCTGTCTGCCTCTCCCATTTTCACAATCTCACTCTCCTTCTCCCTCTTTCTCTCTGTAATTGGTATTCTACTAATTTCTCCACATCCCTCTCACTCACATCCTCAGTCCATATTAATTATTAATTCCAACTCCAAAGGTTTGATAGAAATCCTGCAAAGGATGACCATCGTGCCCCAGAGATGAGCTGTCTAGTGGGGCACCCACCTTCCTTTGGGAGGCACAGCCTCCCAGAGCCATGAGTACCCACCTATGCCCAAGCAAAAGAGCAGAACACATATTAGGTCCAACATTCCCCTTGCCTTTGAGTACTGACCAAGAGTTCAGGTACTACAAGGTATGTTACTCCAGAGACAAGCAAGGGATCTGGGTGCATCCTCCTTGATCCTGACCCCTAAATCCTTCTACCCTGTGGCTCCTCTCTGTTACTTTTCCTCCCATTGCCACTCTGAAACTGTCTGCCAGAACCTGTTTTGCCCTATGGAAAGCAAAGTTTGGAAACTGTTCTAAGTATACACTATGAACAACCAGCCCAAAAAGAAAAACACAATACTGGTTCAATTTTTTACAATCTTTTGACATTACAATGGTGCAAAAGCCAGTGCAAAGGTTATACACTTTTGGTAAAAACCATAAGGGCTGGGACATAGCTCAGTGGCAGAGAACTTGCCTAGCATGCATGAGGCCCTGCACTCAATCCCCAATGCTGGGGGCGGCGGGGGACAGTAGAAACTATATTTTGATCTTTTCCCAAGCTAGCAATATGGGATATGATCCTCTCAATTTTGCACAGGAAAAGCAGCTCCCAGACAGCCATAGGACCCAAGAGTAATAAACAACTGGTACTGCACACAGTACTATGTTACTAAGCTATGATGTTCAGTAGGTTGAGTGTATTAAATGCATTTGATTTAGGAATTGTTCTATTTATGTTGGATTTATCAGGACATAAGTCAAGGAGCATCTTTACCTTGTCCTTTGTTCATTACAGAACCTGTAGCTCCAGTAACACAGAGACAGACACACCTACCTGGTTTCCCTGTTGTGCATTTCTCCTCCCTACAATGGCAAAGACTCATGCAATCTTTAAGAACCCTCTCCCTCATTTTTGAGAACCAGAAACAAACTGCCCACAGAGCTTAAGTGACTTGTTCCAAAATTTCACTAATTTTAGATATGCAGCTGAGCAACTTTAGTCTAGTGGTTAAGCACAGCAAACTGAGTAACTCGTACAAGCTTAGCAAAGATGGTACTACATGGCAAGGCCATATTTCAGGAAACCGTGGTAGAGCCTAAAGACAATCTCAGCACATATACATTAGTCCCACTTACCCAGAGTTTCACTTTCTGCTATTTCAGTTATCTGAGGTCAACTATGATCCAGAAACATTCAATGGAAAATTGAATAAGCAAATGATTCTCAAGTTTTAAATAATTTTCATTGTTATAATTGCCTTATTTTATTATTAGATATTATTAATTGTATAGAACCTAATTTATAAACTAAACTTTTCCACAGGTATGAATATATAGGACAAAAATGTTTATTCCAAATATACACATTTACATATACATGTAGGGTTCAGTACTACCCTAAGTTTCAGAAATTCACTTGGGTCTTTAAACCTATGCCCCACAGATAAGGGGGGATTACTGTATTTAACTGCCATAAACTCCAAAATTCCACAGATCTTTGGTGGATTTCTTAGAGCTTCTCTGCATTCTAGACCAGCACCATCAAATGAAACTTTCTGAGAAACAGAAATGCATCATCCAATATGGCAGCTCTTAGCTATATGTGACTAGTGAACACTCAAAATGTGGATCATAGGAGAAACCAAATGTTTTCTTTTTATTTCTTAATAATTTATTTATTAAATAATTACCTATGGCTGGAGGCTTCCATAGTGAACGGTGAACTCCAGACCACTGAGGTTCCTGAAGCAATTTGGAGACCCAGTATACCAAGCACACTGAGCTTGGGAGATAGATGGACTGATTCATATGCTTTCTAGTTCAGTCATCTTGACCATGAACTTAACCTCCTACACCTCTGTCTTCATGAAGTTAAAAAGGACTACTACCTCCTACTTAAGAGAATGACTCTGGGAGGAAGGAAGACCAAACTGGCACATATGAAGCCCCTAGCACAGTGCTTAGCACATGGGAGCCTGCATGACACACTTTCCCTGTTCCTTCTCAGGTTCATCCACATCTGACACTTAGGCTTTGGCCTTTTCAGACACTTTTCCCAAAGGGATGCTGCCCTTGCTGACGAAATAAACTTCCAGTTCTAAGAAACGAAGATCTTTAGCACCTACCCAACTAGACCCCCAAACAGAGGGGTGGACCAATATGAAACATGAACAATCTCACTCCCCCCTGACACTATGTAATTGTGACTATTAACTATCAACAGGAAAGTAAAGTTGCTGAACCTTCACTTCTAGAAGCCATGGCCATCCCCTTGTGAGGCAGACAAAAGCAGAGGGAGAATTCCTTACAAAACTCCTCCAAGCTGTAAATGTTATAGGTGACCCAGGAGGGTCCTGAGTCTGTTTTTATGGCCACAGCACTTCTTCCTCATGCCAGACCTCAATGTGAACCCCAGCCCCCCCCCCCCCCCCCGCCCCAGGTTACCTGAGGCCGCTGTTGTGGGTGTACTGGCTGCTGGTGGCTGTGAAGAGCTGCTGTTCTCATTCATGAGACATTGGTTGCCACCGTTGTTCTCTCTCTTGACAAGCAGCTCAGCTGCACTGGGCAGCGGGATGGGGTGGCTGATACCCAGTTCCTCCTCCTGCGCCTGCTGCCTTCTCAGAGCCACCTGGAAGCACAGGACAGTAAATCATTCTCCAGCACTCTAGAATCACCAGTTCCATGGATAGGCTCTGAACATAAAGAGGTTTCTCATTTCTCTTACCTGGCTGTCCAGGTAACTAGGATGTGCAGCCAAAGTTGAAAAATGATATAAAGACAGGGTTATCTAGCCCAGAGTAGATGTCCCCAAAACACATGAGTGTGCAAACTATCAGGAAAAACTCATCCAAAGAGGGGAGTTCAATCTCAAGAGTAGGAAAACACACTGATGGATTAGGAAGACCTGGACTCCTTCACCCTACAAATATGTAAAAGACCACTGTACTGGAAACAGTGACCAGTAAGCTTACATTAGATCACAGATTCCTCCCCATTTAAAAGGAGAAACAAGAAGCAAGTAAGCATCGACTACAAAATAGGACGAGAAGCAAACACCAATCTACAGCAAAAATGTAAGAATCAGCCTGCGTAGAAACGCAGCAGAGACCTGAACCATGGAATGAGTAGCACTCACACAGGGAAGGAAAAAGGGATAAGAATAATATGGAACAGAGCAGCTAGGAAATGAAACCCCACAAAACCCTGTTCCCTGGGGATGAGGGAGCATGTGGAGAAGCAAGGAAGAGCAAGGAGGCTGGAATCTGGTGTTGGAAGTCCCTGGAAGAAGAGGTGGGAGGTGGGGAGCAAGGGAGAGGACAGGTTTGTGGGGGCGGTGTCTAGGCAGGGAAAGAGAGACAGAATTGAGACAGGTAAGAATCTGACATACTTAGGAAACACTTCAAGGGGCTTCTTATGTTTATAATCTTTTTAATAACATTGTTAAAAATTGGGGGGAGGCTTAAAACAAGTTGTATTTTTGTTTACTACCTGTAACAAAAAGAGACTTTCTATTGAACTTGACTCTTGGCGGTCATGAAAGGAGAAAAATGAAGCACCCTACACGTTAAAGGCTCAAAGACAAGAGAAAAGGTAAAATCAAAATGGTAAATCAGAAATCCAGCTACAATCTATGTATTGGCTTAGGAAAACTATATAGTCCAAAGTTAGCTGATTCATGTGGAAGTAAATTTCACTCATAACCAAGAGTCTTCACCTTAGAAAACTAAACCTTGGATAATTATTTAAGCATATATCTTGGATTTTCTGCTATTAACCAAGGGCTTGGAAACAGCATTATCAATAACTGCCCAGAAGTAAGTTTTTTTAAAACCCTGCAAACCTCTAAAATATTAATACATACTTGTACCTTGATTTACACAAACCTCATGCATACCCAAAAGGCACAGCTTATTTAGTCCACAAACTAAGGATGCCCTTACAAAGATCTTCTCCAAGGTTTGTTAGTGAATATTATTACACAGGAAAGGGGCTGGCAATGGATTGCAAATGCAGTTGTTTCATTCATCTAATATCAATTTCAAACTATTTTAGAATAACTAGAAAGTAATTGCTATATAGATTTTTTAAGGGCTCATCTAGCATAACACAAATCCTCTGGTACAAAAAATCCTGAAGTTTCATATTCTAAAAGTAATCTTGAGTCGTTTTTGTTGTTAATTCAGCTGTCTCCTCAAAATTAGTCCCTCTAAAAAGGGTTTTCAAAATTAATGCCCCTACTCGTATATTTTTATTACATTATGAGGAAAAATCCCTCGAGTATTGATTGCTCCACGTTAAATATTTAAGCCAATGACCAAATGCCCGGAATACTTTCCTGCCTACAAGTATATTTGGATGTTTTTTAAATCTCATTGTGATGCACCTTATTGTTACATCCAGCATTACAATTCACTACAGATTGAATTAAATTCTATGAAGAAACTACCTATATTTTCATTAACTACCCTTATAATATCTGAAGACAAAACTCTTGTAATTGTAAATGTTTTAATTTCCCTGTGTTTAAAACTCTGATGCACGTAGAAAGTAAACGATCTTTAAGCATTTGTGCAGTTATGTTTTTTTAAAACTATTTTACACATTTCTAATCAAAAGCAGCACACCACTGGAAAACACTTTTTTGGTATCATTTCATTTTAAATAATCTATCTTTAAAAGATGAAACAACTTTTAGCTGGAAAGAATGTGTATTATTACCTTTTAAAAACCTTTTAGGAAACCAAAGACGTGAACTTTCGTTAACATGCTAAATTACTAGCGTACTGTTGAAGCCATTAAAAATTAAAAATAAAAACTAACGGCTGGCTTCAAACCCAGGCAGTTTTTTTTTTAATTCTTAAATATAGTCAAAACATTTACATAACTTGGGGCCAGACAGCGAATTTTAAAATACTAGCATTTCCACGGTGCTCAAAATGGCTGAGGCGATCGGCCCGGAGCCGCCGGGGGCGAAGACGCCAAGTGCATCAAGAGCAGGAGACCACGCCGCGCGGCGTCCATCACAGGGACTTTTCCAAAAAAAAAAAAAAACGCGGCGTCGCGTTCCGCAGCTACTCAAGGGTCTCCCCTGGCCCCTACAAAGCGTCCTTCGCGGCGCTCCAAAGGACCCTACTTGATTTAAGCCCAACTCAGTGGGGAGTAGTCCCTGGGACCCTCGAGGAGAGCGAACCCCGCAACTCTGTGCTCGGTGGCGATCGCCGGGACTGCCCAGCCAAGCGAACCCCTCGGCGATCGGCTCTGAGAGCGAGGCTGGAGATCCCAGCCGCCCCCACATTGCGGAGCGAACCCCGCAACTGAGCTGAAGCGCGGGTCCGGAGATCGTGGAGAATCCCTAGCGGAACAAACTCAACTCTGCTTGGAGGGCAGGGATGGAGATTTGGGGGCCCCGCCGCTGCAGCGAGCCCCGCAACTCTGGTGCAGGATTGGGGTGATCTTAAAAGCAGGGTGAACCCCGCATCTCCGCAGGCGGGAACTGGGACTCGTTCCCGCCTACCCAGAGTGGCTTCGGCCCTGGCTGGGAGTCCCGCGTCCCCGGCGCGCCGCGAACGTCGGCGCTACTAGCCGGATCATTCCCGATCCCGGGCCCGGCTTAACTCCGGCCTCGTCGAAGGACTTTATCCCTGACGCTCAGAACTGAACCCCCTTTCCGGACACCCGCACCCACCTGCGCGGCCATCACGCGCTGTCTCTCGGCGATCAGATTGCACTTTTTGCACTGGCAATCCCGCCACATGCAGAAGCGTTTGTGGCCCTTGAGCGGCGAAGCGTAGCCGTGGTTCCTGCACCGAGCGCACTTGGGCAGCCTCGGGGACTTCTTGCTTGAGGCGCCCAGGCCCGACGCCCCAGAGCCGGAGCCGCTATCGCTGTCCCCGGCGCCTGATCCGCCACCAGCGCCCATCAGCGCCCCAGAAGCTTTCCCGAAGCCCCCGGACTTGCCCTGAGGCGCTACCCCGGGGGCGTGCGGGGTCTCGGACGGTGCGGAGGGCTTGTTGAACGCGTCGTCGTTGGGCATGTTGCCCCAAGGAGCGGCAAAAGGACTCACACCGCCTCTCACGCCCGAAGACGGCTGCAAGGAAGCACCCAACAGACGGCTAGGCTCTAGGAGAGGAGGTGCAGGAGGCGTGTATGCAGCAGCCGGAGGTGCAGCCCGAGTGGCGAGGTCGGGACACGCAGCGCCGGGAGTGGTGGGGGGTTGTGCCCTTTTTTTTTTCTTTTGGCGCGCGGCATAGAACTTTTGGATACTTTTCAGAATGTTCCCGGGATTGCAGAGGCGGGAGAGGGCGCGAGGGAGCTCAGCCACGCCCATTGTCCCCCAACTCCAGCCACTGCGCTCCGGCTGAGTGCAAGCTTGCACACCAGCTGCACGCAACCAGGGCGCTGCTGCAGGGATGCTGCAATCGCACTGAGGTGCAGAGCATGACCTCATAGCTCTCTGGGGTACCGGGGGCCAGGCTGCCAGACAGAGCTCGCTGCACGGAGGAAGCTAGCCTCCCAGGTCAGGAGTGGAGTCCAGCGTGCTACTTGGAGGAGGTGCCTAAACCTGTCGGGTCGTCTAGCTCCCTTCCCCCTTTCCCCTCCCCCCAGTGAGAACCATTCTTCAGGTTCAATAGAGGAGACCTTGGCAGCAGCAAACTCAGAAAGTGGTTTATTTCTCCCTTGATAATAAGGTTGAAAGTCTGAGAGAAGAGATCTCTACATTTATGTCAGCAGATAAGACCTTCACTTGGGGTTGAAGTGCGCCCAAAACTTTAAAAGTTGGAGCTCTTCTCCATTTATCCCCTGTTTTCATCTGTTCCCAAGATTTCTACCTCCTGGCCCCAGATAACTTTTCCAGTCTACATAGTTCCAGCCCTAGTTTCTTCTCACTTCTTGCATTTGAGGCAGCTTCATTTGGACTCTGAATGGGGGTGGGAGGATTACACACATGTACACCTTTATCAAAACTCATTCTACATTTAAGATCTGCACGTTTTATGTGTTTAAGTGTACATTTTTTAAAAACTCCGTGATCTTACCTTTCCCGAGTTCCCACCATGAACTCCCCATCCCCTATCTCCTGCCACATTTGTCTCCTCTGCACTTGCACAGCTAATCCATCCCTGGGCCTGCTGATCAGTTCTTCCCATACATCCATGTGACCAGCCCTTCATCTAGAGTCTCAATCTGCAGTAGCTTCCAACAGATCTCTCCATTTCTCTTTCTTCTGAGGTATTCTAAGTACACAGCCCCAGGCCCCTTCAGTGCCTAGCTATTGTTTTCCACCTGAAAAACAAAAGTTGAAGACCTTAGGCTAGTCTTAAAGCACTTTGACTCATCTCTGCATTTCTTAGCCTCCCATTCTACCAGCTTGGAACAGCTCTTTGTTGACCTGGTACAGCCCCTTTGTTCATCACCACTTTTCTAACCTTGTATTGACAATTGTGCTTGGGGCTAATTTACACCCCTCTCCCACTTTCCTTGCTTTTCACCAGTTAGTACTTGCCTTGAATATTCTGGGCCACAGCCTCAGGGGAGTAGTTCTCAAAAGGAGCATAGCCACCTCACTTAGCTTCTCAATTGAAAGGGTTGTTCAGTGGCCATTTCTGTCCACAGTTGGGAATGTTCAGCACTGAGATCTGAAGTCCCTTCACTTGCCTTTCTCCCATTCTAATTCTGAGGCCTCCTACACAATCCTCAGAGTGCATTTTCTCCATTAGTGTTAGCTCTCTGAAAATTATTTCCTTCCAGCTTTACACAATGCCACGCACCCTGACCATGAAGTCAGTGAAGCTCTACTCCTGACAGGGATCAAGATACAACCATACACCCATGTTGGAACCTCTTAGATGATAACCAACGTTTTATTCAGGGACATCCTTCTCCCTTAAAGTCTTCTATTAAAACACATAAGCCAATTGCCATTATCCATTATTTTTTTTAATCTACGCTTTAGTACCTGAGCTGAAGTTGAATCTTTCCCAAGGCCCAGTCTAGCTTTAGACAATAAAGTAGATGCAGGAAGCAACAGCTGTCACATCCCAGATCATGAGGAAAAATACATTTCTTATAAACAGAATCTGTGATGGAAGGATTTAAACCTATAGAAAATGTGGTGCTAAGAACATGTGACCAAGGTATTAAAACATAAAATGAAGTAATGAAATTAATAGCCAAGTGAAGTTTTTATTTACAAGGCACAGAGGAGGCACCAGACAGGAGATGATCCGTAAAGGAAGTAGGAAGACCCCCCAAAATAAATAGATTCCTACTGGACATTTTTAATAGCCTCACCTTGTTATCTCCTTTTTCCTCTTTCCAGAAACCAAAGTCCAAATATGATCATGCAGATCTGTACTGAATGACTTAGAAATATGCCCAAGACATACTGATTAGTGGGGGAAGAAGCCAGTTTTAAAATATGTCTTAAATAAAAATTCTTAGATATGAGACCAAAAGCACAATACAAAAAAAAAAAAAATGAACTTCAACAAAATTTAAAACATGCTTCAAAAGCCACAATTTAAAAAGTGAAAAGCCATAGTCTGTGAGAAAATATTTAGAAGTTATATATGATAAAGAACTGTACCCAGAATATATTTTAAAAAACTATTTTAATTCAATAATTTAAAATCAGGAACTGGGGATATAGTTGAGTGATGAGTATCTACTCAGCATGGACAAAGCCCTGGGTTGGATCCCCAACACCACACACAAACAAAAATAACCAAAAAAGTGCCTATTTCACCAAAGAAAAGGCTTGAATGGCCAATAAACAATTAGAAAGATGGTCAATACTATTAGTTATTAGAGAAATGCAAATCAAAACCATTGCGATGGGGCTGGAGTTGTAGCTAAGTGGTTATGCGCTTGCCTAGCATGTAAGGCACTGGGTTCTATCCTCAGCATTGCATAAAAATAAATAGACATTGTGTTCATATAGAATTTAAAATATATATTTAAAAACCATTGGAATATCATTATTCAAATATACAATGGCAAATATTGGCTAGAATGTAGAGAAACTTGAATGTTCATAGATTATTGATGGGATTGTAAAATTATACAGTCATTTTGAAATACATACCAAATGACCCAACAATTCCACTCCTCTGTATTTACCCCAGAAAAATGAAACAATCCAAATGTCTATAAATGGATGAATAAACAAAGAAAATTTGGTATATCTATATAATGAAATATTATTCAGCCATAAAAGGAGTATAGTAGTGATATATGCTGCAGCATGGATGAAATATGACAATGTAATACTAAGTAAAAGGTATTATCTGATTTGTGTGTGTGTGTGTGAGAACTACTGGGAATCAAACTCAGGGCCTCTCACATGCTAGGCAAGTTCACTACCACTGAGTTATGCCTCCAGCCCCTCTGATTTTTTTTTTTTTAACACACAATAGGCATTACTTTCACTATCAGAAAAAAATGCATCATTTTATTGATGAGGCAGTACATGGCATATTAACTGAATGCTTAATTTTGACCCTCAGTTAAGAGACCTTAGGAGAGTTATTTAATCACTCTGTGATTCAGTGTCTTCATCTGTAAAAGGGAAAAAGGATAATAATAATGCCTACCTCTGAGAGTTTTTAGGAAGACTAAGTTAATACTTACGAAGTGCTTAGAAAGGTGTCTGTCTGTTGTTGGTATTTCCACATTGGAAAGAAAATAGGAGAAAGCAAGGTACATATGCACACACGTCTACAGATTTGAAGAACCCATGGGGAGGGAAAGCTATTTTACAAGGCACTAGTGATAAATTCTATCTGCTTTGCATTTTGTTGAGGGAAAGCTGTTTTTGCCCTGGATCTTGGTGAAACAGGTCAATGGAAAATTCTCTGGATTGGCTCTGTCTCTGTTTCTCTTCCTCTACACACACACACAAGTATGTAGTGAGATACTCTATGAATTGAAATAGTCAGCTTTCCATGTCCCAATAGTATGCAGCTGTGAGTCAGCTGGTGTTCAGCGGTATGTGATCAGTGTCCCATGACTGATATGAGCAGTAGGAATCAAGGGAGAAGTGGGACAAGTAGGGCCTGAGCACTTAATGAGGGACTTCACTTGACATGGAACACAACTACCATGTAGCTGCACAGGATCTGAACAGGCATAAAGAAGACTGAACTACCCTGTAGTCTCAGGAGATATGCGTAGGCATAAAGGTGAAAACAGGACATTCTATCGTGGGAACAACAAATTGAAAGCTAAGCATTGGATGCCAGCCTGTGGGTTGGGGAAGAAGATGCCGACATGCCAGTCTGGAACAGAGGAGTCAAGCTGGAGCCCAGCAGGAGATAAGGTTGGGAAGATAGCATGGCACCTTGCCTACTAGTGGGGAATTTGGCTTTTATCCTGTAGGCAAATAGAAAATGATGGAGATGTTTGTCCTTGAGGTGTTTGAGAAATGAAAGTATCATTTCTACCAATCACTCTATCATATAAAAAGTGATTCATTGGGTTGGAGTTGTGGCTCAGTGGTAGAGCGCTTGCCTAGCATGTATGAGGCACTGGGTTTGATTCTCAGCACCATATATAAATAAATGAATAAAATAAAGGTCTATTAACATCTAATATGTGTGTGTGTGTATATATATATATATATATATATATATATATATATATATATATATATATATATAATGTGATTCATCATCATGGATAGATTGGAGCTAGGGTGCTAGGGAAGGAAGCCAGAGCTTTGTGCACACTAGGCAAGTTTTCTACCACTGGGCTACATCTCCAGTCCTCATCACTGGTAATTGATGCTGATTGTAGCTTGGATTGAAGGAACAGGAGGAATCTGAAAGCAGATAATGCTGGCAGGGACCTAGTTGTTCTGGAAGATGGCTATACCTGAGGTTACAATGGTGAAACCTGCTTACTGTAGCCACCTTTCTCTATGCACTCAAGTTTCCAGTAGTGATGGGAAGATGAAGGAAACATAATTCTGCTTATCATGACAGTTAGGAATACAGGTCTTACTGTCAGACTGCCTGCGTCTGAGGCCCAACTTGG